CTGGGGGCGAACGCGAGCGCGGCTGGTCGTCGGGGCTCGGAGCCTCGAGGCGGGCGCAGGCGCTCCGCCTCCTGCTGGTCCGTGGCGCGTGCGCGGGCACTGCCTCCTTGCTGCCCAGATTCGCGAGTGGCCTTGCCGAGAGGGTGGGCCCCGGGGCGCGTCCTCTTCAATGTTCTCGGGAGCCTCGAGACGGGGGTCAATGCGAACGGGGGTCAGCCAGGGCGCCAGATCCTGCAGGATCCTGCGAAGACCCCCCCTGGCTGACCCGGGTCAGCGAGCCGCTCGTGGCCGCGAGGCGGCCGCGCACATTGGCTGACCCGGGTTTGCGAAGACCTGCGCTGCAGTTGTTGGTTTCCTGCATTGCAGTTTTTGGTTTCCTGCTGACCCGGGTCTGGATTGACCCGGGTCAGAAGATCCCCGATCGTGTGCACGACTTGTTGAAGTCACGCCGCGTGCCCTGGTCGGGGCCATGGGCCTTAGCGCCCTGTCCGCACAAGGATGGTGAGCCGCCATGCTCGAGGGCGAAGAACTCACGCAGCCGCGACAGCTGTGGCATGCACCCCCATCGGGCATGGGATGCGGCCATCGACGAGGCTCGCAGCCCGTCGGAGGCGGTGCGGGCGTCCTGGGCCAGCCACGTCGCTGTGGAAGGAGCGGAATGGGTCCCTGCAACCCGCATGGCCGAGCCTCCAATAGGCCCTCCAGTTGGGCGGGACACGACGTGCCCAAGAGTGGCACTGTGCGATGCCTCACTGGCATTTGTATTAAGCACGCGCCGACAGGCTGAGCAGCTTGGCCACGAGACGCAGCGTCTGGCCGCCGAGCGGGCCAGCCGCCTCGCTGCCGCGCGTGCCAACGAGGTGTTGTCCTGGACCTCCCTCTCCTCCTGGACTCGCGCGCCTCCCCCGCCCTTCCCCTGCATCCTCCTCTCCCCCATCCTCACCCTCCGTATCCCTCGTCCTCCATCTCCTCCTCCACACCCTCCTTCTCTCCATGGCCTCTTCCTCAATCTCCTCCTCCCCTCCTTCCTCCACCTCCTCCTCCCCCATCTCCCCCATCTCCTGCATCTCCTCCATCTCCGCCTGCTGCTTGTGCTGCTCCTACCAGTGCTGCTTCCGATGCTGGCATAGATGTGCTGTTACGCTGCCGCTGCAGCGACTGCTGCGCACAGGCTCTAAGAGCATCAGCGCGCTACACGGCCCGCGATAGCTGACCCCTGGCCCAATTGCGTCTCCTCCTCCCCCTATCTGCTCGTCCACCCCGACCACATGCATCTCTTCTCCCTCCGTCTCATCCTACACTGTTTCTTCCTCCATTTCCCCGTCCTTGTTCATCTCCTGCTCCTCCTCCTCCTCCTCCTCCTCCTCCTCCTCCTCCTCCTCCTCCTCTTCCTACTCCTCCTCCATATGATCGTCCATCTCCTCCTCGCCCTCCTCTTGTTTTCCTCCTCTTGCGCCCCCTCCTCCTCTGTTTCCTCCTCCTCCTCCTCCTCCCTCCCTCCCTCCCTCCCTTCATCCTCTCCACTCCTCCTCCCCCTCCCTCAGGGTCGGACGAAAAGGGGGGACTCGGGAAGGGGGGGGCGCCAACAAAGTCGCAACACAACGACATGTGCATGCATGTTTTTCGATAACGTCCTCCGCCATCGCCCTCCCCGTTCTCCGCGCGGGCCAAGCCTTTTGGGGCTCACCAGGGTTGCGCACAGTGACCTGTGTTTCCAGCCGGTGCCGTTGGAGGCTCCGCGGTGAATTCCCTCGCGTTCCATGCTGCCTCGAAGCATCCTCGATGGAGGGGGGTGGAGCCATCGAGGGAGGGAGGATGGAAAGGAACGAGTGAAGGAGGAGGAGGAAGAGGAGGAGGAGGAGGAGGAGGAGGAGTACTGAGTACTGCTCTTGGAGGGTCTGGTTACGTCATCCCGGAGGAGGAGGAGGAGGAGGAGGAGAAGGCGAAGGAGCAGGAAGATAATGGTGAGCTGTAGAGGAGGCGAGTGGGGAGAGGGGAAGGACAGCGAGAGGGAGATGGGGATGGGACAAGGAAGGAAGGGGAGGAGTACATGGAAGCTGGAAAAAGTGACCTGGGGCCAGCCCTTCCACTCTTTCCAGCCCTGGCCAGCTTCCGTTTTTTGTTCCAGCCCTGGCGACAGCATCCCTTCTGTTTCGGGCTCGCCTCACCCACTGCCAGTTTTTCCAGCCCCAGCCACTTCCACTTTCACTGACTTTCCTTCTTCCAGTTTTTCCAGCTTCCCTGTAGAAGGAGCGTGGTGGTTGGGAGAGGGGACAATGTGGGGGACAGGGGGGGAGGAATGAGTATGAGGAGAAGGAAGGGGGTGAGAAGGGGGATCGGGAGAGAAGGCAGGAGACGGAGTCGAAGATGATGTTGAGGAGGCATCGAAGGAACCGTTCCAGGAGAGATGAGAATGTGAAGGTAGGTAAAGGCTGGAGAAGGGGAGCAGAGGGAGGGCTAGGTGAGAGACAGGGGGGCAGAGGCGTTCTCCACGTTGGCCTGCGAGTCATTGAGCAGCCTCTGTGGAGCTTTCACTGCATGCCTGGAGAGCACGAGTCGGAGCCGGGGTCCAGGCAGTGGTGTGCCCTCGCGCGACCTCGCCGTTCCAGCGTGTGTTGCCTTCTTGGCAGCTCTTGCTGGAAGGCTTTTTCTCCAGAAAGTCCAGGGTCGCCAAGAGAGACTCTTGGCATCGCTCGGACGTGTGCATTTTTTTTCTCGGCGAGAACCATCGAGGACCTTCCTGGACCATCGAGCAAACAAAAACACGCACGAAACCGAAACATGCACGGGGAATGGACGGCCGAGCGACGGCACGGACTCCCCTCCTGGCCCTCGCCCCTCCTCCCTCAAGCAGGCGCCAGGGAGCACGTGCCACCTGCTTCCGCGCGCTGCGCGGCCCGCGGTGCCTGGTCTTCTGCCCGTCCGGTGTGCCAGGGTTGCGCGCGCGGGGCCACCCCCAGCAGGGGCAGTTGGAGGGTCTACAGTCAAAAACCCTAACAAGGACGCGCCACTCTGCTCAGGGTACCCTTGCGTCCTTGCTCTTCCTTGCTCTTGCGTCCTTGAGGTTTTCGTCGTCCGCCGCCCCCAAAAAATCCCAACTTCGGCTTCTCCAAGGGTCTTGCGTCCTTGCTGCGCGTCCTTATTAGGGTTTTTGACTTGGGCGCCCGAGTTATCCGGGGTAACTCGGGTCCGGGATAACTCGGGTTTGGGTTCCCGAAAAACGAACCCGAGTTAACCCTGACCCGAGTTACCCCTGATGATTCGGGGCTCTGGACGCCCGAATTATCTGGGGTAACTCGGGTCCGGGGTAAGTCGGGCTCGGATTCCCGAAAAACAACCCGAGTTAGCCCTGACCCGAGTTCCCCCTGATGATTCGGGGCTCTGATTGACTGTACGTGAACTCTGGCGCGAAGGCTCGGAGGCGGATCGCATCGCAGTATATCTCAGAACTGCCACGGTCGGCGCCGGTCCGCCCGCACAGGGCAGGCCGCGCTCGTGTGCCCTGCGGCTCCCGGTGAGCATCGCCCCGTCGTCGCTGGGACCTCATGGGGCAACGCCAGGGGGGATCGGCGCGTGGGAGGCGCATCGACCCCCAATCGCCCCTTCGTCGCTGCTAGGGGCACAGTAGGCACGCCCCGCCCAGGACGGTGCGAGTTCGCTCTCGGGGGCCTGCCGCCGATCTATCGGCGATGTCTCGCCGGTCCACGCAAGCGTTGACCCTCCAGACCCCGCAGACGTTGACCCTGCAAACGCAAACGTTGACCCTCAAGAGGAGGGAGGGAGGAGGAGGAGGAGGAGGAGGAGGAGGAGGAGGAGGAGGGGAGGAGGAGGTGGGGGAAGAGGAGGAGGAGGGAGGGAGGGAGGAGGAGGAGGAGGAGGAGGAGGAGGGAGGAGGAGGAGGAGGAGGAGGAGGCCCCCACAAACGAGTCGAGCACCCCGCCAAAAACGTGGACCCTCGAGGCCGCGTCGCCCTCCCTCTGACCTCGCCCTGGGTGCCCGTCGGCGGCGAGCGAGGGGGGGGGGGCGAGAGAAGGAGAAGGCCTTCTGGGGGGGCGGCGGGGCTTCTCGTCCTCCTCCTCCTCCCTCCTCGTCCTCGTCCTCGTCCTTCTCCTCGTCCTCGTCCTCGTCCTCCTCCTCGTCCTCGTCCTCCTCCTCCTCCTCCTCCTCCTCGTCCTCGTCCTCGTCCTCCTCCTCCTCCTCGTCCTCGTCTTCCTCGTTCTCCTCGACCTCCTCGTGATCCCCCTGCGTCCTCCTCCTCCCCCTCCTCGTCTGCCTCCTTGGCCTCCCCGTCTTCCTCCTCGCCGTCCTCGTCCTCGGATCACTTCTCAGAAGGCCGAGGGGACTCCCGACCTCGACGCTTTTGACTCGCCAGTGCTGTCCCAGTGGCATCATCCCACTGGCCCTCTGCACGGACGAGCGCACGCGCGGGAGCCCTCTCCGTCCAGGCAGAGCGCACCCGCGACAGCTACAGCGTTGTTATACCAGTGCTTCGCGCGCCCTTCTCATTCTCACTTCCCCGGGGCTCGCCGCCGAGCGTTGGGTCCCACACGACACAGCCCCCCGATGTCCGACGGCCCAGCAGGGCCCGAAGCGGGCCTGCAGATGCCGAAATCAAGGAGAAGTCCGCGCCTGGTGGCACCGGTTCCCAAGGCGGTCGGCAGCAGTTGCGCGTGGCACCCCTCCCCGCACCCTTGCGCACTGACGGCGTACAATCGCTGCGACGCTAGGCTAAGTCCAAAAAGTTCTCCGTCCTCCTCGCCCTCCCCCACCTCACCCTCGTCGTCGCCCCCCCCTCCCCCTCCGGGCTTCAACCGCGGCCCATGCACCTGACCCATTTCAGGGCAGGGGTCCACTGGGGCCAGGCGTGTGAGGAGGGCAAGCTGTCAGGCCAGTGCTGAAAACACTGGCAGCCTACGCTGCGCTGTGACATCTCTGTCGCAATCACCCCCTCGCCGTCGACCCCTCTGCCACCGCCGCGGGTGTTGGCCGGAGGTGGCAGGATGCTTTCCAAGTGCGCGCTGCACTGCGCCCGGGGCTTGCGAGGACGCGGGGGGGGTGGGGTCTGGGTCGAGGAGAAGGGGAGGGGGCGGGAAGGGGAGAGGGATGAGAAGGGGGCGGGCGGGGGGAGAGGGAGGGGGAGGAGGGCAGGAGGAAGGCAGGAGGAGGGGGAGGGGAGAGAACAAGAGGGGGGGGGATGATGGGGGAGGAAGGGGAGGAGGAAGGGTTGAGGAGGAGGAGGGGAAGGTAGCAACGACTAGGGGGAACTGGAGAGGGATTCGATGGAATCGACTATCACTGTTGGTCTTGCCTGATAAGCTTCTAGGGAACAGGAGGAGGACAATGAGGGAGGAGGATACATTCAAGGGACAAGAGTGCCGCGGGGGCGATTGTGGGTGAAGGGGGGGAACTGCAAGCAGCAGCAGAATAGGAGGGGGGAAGGGTAGCTGCAGGAGGAGGAGGAAAAAGGATATTGGAGGAAGGAGAGAAGGAGTTAGCCGTCAAGTTCGAGGACGAGGATCAGGAGGAGCAGGAGGAGGAGGAGGAGGAGGACGAGGAGGGAAATGGAGGAGGAGGAGGAGGAAAAGGAACCAAGGCAAGTACCAGGAGGAGGATGACAGGCGTGTAGAGGAGGCCCGGAGGTCCCGAGCCTCCCAGGATAGTAATGCCATACTGGTTTGACGGTTGACGCCTGTTTAAGCTCAGTCATAATCGTCACCGTTGGGAGCGTTTCCATCGCGTTCTGCGGCCCTTGCAAGCATTGGGGGTCGTTTATGACCGCGCGCCGGGGAGGCCCAGGAGGTTCAATGCCTCCAAGACATTGTGCACAACTGCAGAATTGAGGATAAATCGGTCAGAATGAATTCAAGCGCCTTCAGAATCGAGGTCGAAGCTTCAATTCCCGTGCCCAGCGGGCCCAATGCTTCAAGGAAGCTTCCAATTGCATCATGATTACAAGTGTTGCCATTGCTATTAGTTATCGAAGACGCCTACGGCGAATCACCGCCGCCCCCTGCCTTCTTAGAAGCACATGCGTGGCCGAAAGTTGGGCTTGAGCTTGGCCAAGCTATCGGGCCACGCGCTCCCCGAGTGGGTTTCGAAAGCCTTCGGGGAACACGGATTCGGGTGAACTTTCGGGCCTCTTGGAGGACGTCTTGGAGGGGTCTTGGGCCTTCTTGGGGGCCTCTGGCGGGCCTTTGGGGCAGTGTAAAGCCATCTTCATGCAATCTGGGGCCGTCTTGGGTGCATCTTGGGGCCATCTTCGTCGTCTTGGAGGCCTTCTTGGCGGTCTTGGAGGCATCTTGGAGGCCATCTTGGCCGTCTTGGAGGCCATCTTGGGCGTCTTCGGTGCCTCTTGGGCCGTCGTGGGGTCGTGTTGGGGTCCTCTTGGGGGCCTCTTGGCCTGTCATGGGGCCTTGGGCGCTCTTGGGGCGATGTTGGGGGCCTCTTGAAAATATCCAAATCCTTCACAAACCAACGGAGCATCAATGAATTTGGCCTCTTCGGGTCTTCCTGGTGGAGCTCTTGGAGGCCTCTCGGGGCGTCTTAGAGGCCTTTTGGAGGCCTCTGGGGCGTCTCGGGCCGTCTTAGAGGTCTCTTGTGCGAACTTGGAGGCATCTTGGACTCTCTTGGGCCGTCTTGGAGCCCATTTTGGATTATTTGGGGCGAATTTTGAGGCCATCTTATGGCATCTTGGCCATCTTGGAGCCATCTGGAGCAGGACAAACCTTTGCAACCGGATTTTGGGCAGTCCTGGGGCCCTTCTGGGACCCCAGCGGGACAGGCCGAAGCCCCAGGGATTCTTACAAGAACCAAGAGCGAAAGGATTCAGCACGCCGATCACCCCTGTGATGAATCAACCGGGGGGAGGCCGTCTTGGTCCTGGCCCTTCACAAACTCCTGCGGACTGAGGACTGAGGCCCCAGGGATTAGGCAAAGGACCCGAGGACACGCCCACTCCGTGCCCAGAGGCACGGTGGTGGATCTAATGGCATGGTGTTACTAGTCTTCTTTCTCTCCCTCCTCTCCCCCTCCATCCCTCTCCCCCTGTTTCCCCTCGTTACCCTGCTCTCCTCCTTCCCCCTCCTCCTCCGCTCGCCGCCTTTCTCGCCCCCTTCCCCCCGCCTTCTCCCTCCCCTCCTCCGACGGCGGCGGCGACGACGACGCATGCGGCGACGGCGACGGCGGCGATGGCGACGGCGACGGCGGCGAGGGCCACGGCGGCGGCAGCGACGGCAACGGCGACGGCGTCGGGAGCGGCGGCGGCGCCGTCGCCGAGAGAGCCGAAGACGGGCCGCGGGGCAGGTGTTCGCGCGCCCGCGGCGGTCCGCGCCGCGGCCGCGCTCAGCGCCCATGGCAGGCCAGGGCTGGCGCCGCGCCGCACGAGTGCCGCCCCAGCGGACCAGGCGGGGGGAGGCAGCGGTCGGACGGGGTCAGGACGATAAATCCGTTCCAGGGCGTTCCGGAACGCTCTCCGCCGACGGTGACGAGGGTCGTGGGTCGTCGTGGGTGCCGTCATCGCCGACGGCGACAAAGACAGGCAGGGAGGAGGAGGAGGAGGAGGAGGAGGAGGAGGAGGAGGAAGAGCGAGGAGCGAGGAGCGAGGAGCGAGGAGCGAGGAGGATGAGGAGGAGGAGGAAGGCGAGGAGGGGGAGGAGGAGGAGGACGTGGAGGAGGAGGAGGAGGAGGAGGAGGAGGAGGAGGAGGAGGAGGAGGCTGGAAGGATGAGGCGGAGGGGGAGGCGGAGGTTGAGGAGGAGAAGGAGGGTGAGGAGGAGGAGGAGGAGGAGGAGGAGGAGGAGGAGGAGGGGATGAGGAGGAGGAGGAGGAGGAGGAGGAGGAGGAGGAGGAGAGGAGGAGGAGGAGGAGGAGGGGGAGGGGGGAGGAGGCGGAGGGGGAGGGGAGGAGGGACGTGGAGGAGGAGGAGGGAGGAGGAGGAGGAGGAGAGGAGGAGGAGGAGGAGGAGGAGGAGGAGGAGGAGGAGGAGAGGGAGGAGGAGGAGGAGAGAGGAGGAGGAGGAAGGGGAGGGGGAGGAAAAGGAGGAGGAGGGAGGAGGAGGAGGAGGAGCAGCAGGAGCGGAGGAGGAGGAGGAGGAGGAGGAGGAGGAGGAGTAGAGGAGGAGCTGGAGGAGGAGGAGGATAAGGAGGAGGAGGAGGTGGAGGAGAAGGAAACGGAGGAGGTGGAGGAGGAGGAGGAGGAGGAGGATCCCTGACACCTCGCGACGGGCCCCGTCCAGGTCAAGGGTAGGGGGTAGGAAGAGGGGTCAAGCTACCCACCCTCCCGTAAGCCGTCTAGCTCACTCCCACACGCCCTCCCAACATATAAGTAACACCCGGGCCTGAGCATGTTCAGCGGTCGTCTTTGGATGGATAGCTATTGGGAACCAAAGCCGACCCCAGATGCGCGACGCTTGGGCGAGGTGCGTCACGCGTGCCAGGGGCGCTACGCGCGCCAGGCACCCCTGGGGCTCGAGCGTGCCAGGCACGCCTGGTGCGCCAGATGCGCCACGTGCTCCGAGGGCGCCAGGTGTGCCGCACACTCCAGCCGCGCCAGGTGCGCCATGTTCGGGGCACGTGCAGAGTGCGTCAGGTGCGCCTGCGCACGTGACAGCACACATCGGGAAACATGCCGGCCCCCGCCATCACCGTCGAAAACCAATGTCCATCGTTGTGTCTGGTGGGCCTGCGCACAGCAGGCCACGCGCCACCACCCCCGCGGTCCTTGTCAAAAACAATTTGACAGCGATCGTGGGATGGACGCGCATGGTCCAGATTTTTTGCCGCGATGTGCATGTTGTGTTGGTTCTGATCAGTGGTGGTAACCCTGCGCACGGCAGGGAACAAAGTGTTCGCGGGCCTCGCGAACATGACTCAAGACGTTTCCCCAAATTGTACTTTGCACTGTTATTTTGGACAGGGATGGTGGGGGGGGGCCGCATCGGGTTGGCCGCGCATGCTCCAAATGTGGAGACAGAGTGCGGTTTGTATGGTTTTTTGACAGGGATGGTGGGGGGCGGGTGGTCATGGTGTCCGCATGGTTCCTGGTTGGCCCCCGGTCGCCTGGGGGAGTGGGTGTATATTTATAAGGAGCAGAGGTAAACCCCTCCCCGAAGGGGAAGAGGGGCAGATGGAGGAGAAAACAACCTAGACCACCTACGCCCTAAAGGGCTGGTGGGACTTGGGCCCGGGCCCAGGCTGAAGCCTCCTCGGGGCCGAGCACTGGGGCCCCAGGGACTGGGCAGAGGACCCGAGGACGCGCCCACTCCGAGCCTGGAGCTGCGGCGGCGCCTCTCCTCTCGGATCTCGCACCCCGAGCTGGCGCGCGCCCTCTCTCCGCCTCCTCGCCGACACGGGCGCCGGCCCACGTGCCCCGTCGCCCGACGACCGCCTGCGCGCCCCGCGCCTCGCGCCGCGCCAGCCTCCATGCCTGTGGGGCGGCCGCCGCTCCTCGCGCCGGCCAGCCTCCCCTGGGGGCACTCGGCCTCCCGCGGGGCCACCCCTGGGGCCTGCCCCTCGCCGCGTCGCAGCCCGCGTGGAGGGTCGACGCCGGCGCCGCCATCGCCGTCGACGCCCCACGGGCCGCCTCGTTGGCCTCCCGCAGGTGTCGGCGGAATGCGCGGCTGCTGCACCTTCCCCACCTCTTCGCTGATTGCCTCGGTGTCCCCGTAGTGGTGGTCCAATGCCGCGGCCCCTCCGATCCTCAGCGAGTGGGAGCCGAACTGCGCACCCCTCAGCCACCGCCGCCCTTTGCAACTCCTCCTGGATTCTCTGCCTCGCGACCAGGCTGCCGTTCGACCACCGCGCCAGCGGGAGATGAGCCTCCTTGCACCCCCACCCCAAACCTCGCCGGGAAGTGCCTCTGGTATTGCGCGGACGCCCACACCAGACAGATCTCACCCCCTGCCTGGTACTTGTACTTGTTCCTGGCCATCACGGCGCCAGCCTGATCCGTCTTCCTCGCCTTAAGCCACAGGACCTCGTCGTCGGCCTGGACGAAGTGGTGCACCTGTCCGCCCTTCGCTTTCGTCGCCACGTCCAAGCTCGTCAGCATCTTCTTGCGGTCCCAGTAGCCCGCGTAGGCATACGCCCCGATCCGCATCAGGAGGAAATTCGTGATGATCAGGTAGTAGAGCATTGCATCGTCCGGGTCCGCCTCTGGCCTCAGCCTCCCGATGTTCACCAGTATCCGGACGGTGTCCAGGAACTTGCGCGCCCCTGGGTCTTGCAGCTCCTCGATCCCAATCAGCGCCATCCAAAGGCTTGGCTTGCCCAGCAGCGGGTCCTGCTCCCCACGCCACACATGCTGTAACCTGACTCCCAGCAACTTCGCGCAGATCGTGCCGTGCTCGCGGTGGCGATTATTCCAGAGATGCACCACGAACAGCAGCAGCTCCTCCTCCTCCTCGCGTTTCTCCTCCCTGGTTTGGCAATCCAAGATGGCGCTCATCTGGCCGATGCGACATAACACGTTCCGCTGCTGCCAGGCGACGCTGCAGCTGCCTTTCGTGCCCTTGGCCACTGACGCCGGCAACACTGTTTGGCCCACGCCCGTCAGCTCGGCGACGCACTCAGCCTGCCCCGGCTCGCCGCGCATCCCTCGCCGCCCTCTGGACGTGCTCGGCCCGACCAGACCTCCGCTGCTGGCTGCCCGCTGCCCCCAGGCACTCGCCGACCGCATCCAGGTTGATCGGGACGTCCGACAGGTCACGGGACCCTTGTTCGAAGAATACAAATGCCATGGCTGCGCTGGGATTTGCGCTGGATTCCCGGCGCCGCCTCCGGGGGGTGGGGTGGGGGGTGCGCGGCGGCGCGCTGGCATCCGACAGGTCTTGGATCTGCGCTGGGTTCCCCGGCGGCGCCTCCGGCGCCGCCCCTGGCGCGCTCCGCGCGCCTGGGAGGGGGTGTCCAGCGCAGATCCAAGAAATCCACGCGGAGCACCAAAAGTTTCTCTTTATGGCGTTTGTCTTTCTTTTACTGGTCCCTCCGTAGCCGTCTGGCCTTGTCCCCTCCGCAAGGCTAGGCCTCCCAGATGGCGGAGCAGACGGGTTCGGAGGATCGCGCCACGTCGCCGATGCATCGCCGCTGCAGCTCGATGTGGAGCCCGATTTGCTTCACGTCGACATCGTCGACGATGCATCGGTGATGTATCGGCGATGCGGCGCGATCCACCGACACCATCTTTTCCGACCCCATCTAGGAGGTATCTAGCAAGGCTACCAACGCCGTGGCCCCCTCTGGGCCAGCCGCGCCGATGTACCTCCTCAGTTCCTCTGGTTCTCCTCTGGCGGAGGCCTTCGGGCCTCTGGTGCACCCCTCAGCCTCCTCCTCTCCTCGTCGTGGCAAGGCGTCTCTACCCTGGGGCGCCTCCTCGGCTACCTCGATGCCAGAAGCGTCGCAGACCCCCTCGTCGACCGCGTCCGCGCCCCAGTCGGGTTCTGCAGACCTCGCTCTCGATGGACTCGGAGCCACGCAATCGCCCAACGCGGGGTCCTCCTCCTGACCCTGGTCGGGTAAACGTACTCGCTCCCGCATCGGCTCGGGCAGGGGTTCGCGCAGTGGGCTGGGGGGCGGCAGCGCCTCCCGATCCAGCGCCTCTCGTCACGGTCCGCCGCGGGTAAGTAGGCCTCACCCCGGGCTCCTCCTCCTCGCCCTCCTGGCCCCTGATCGCCATGGGCTGCGCCAGCAATCCCCGGCGCGTTCGCTGCGGCTGCGGCCCCTCCTCGACCTCAGTGCATTGTCCTCGGCACGGGACGACCGCGAACCCCTCCCCACCCAGAAGGGACCCAAGTGAGTGACGCAGGAAAACGGGGTCGTCTTCACCGCTACGCGGGCGCGTAAGCTGCCCGCGTAAGGTCGCGCGTACGTGCCCTCGCTTCCCACGTGGGGCGCCGCGCTGGCGGCCCGCGTAATTAAGCCACCGCGTAATGTCGCTGTGGCATCTCGCGTAAGACCCGTTTTAGATCTGTGGTCCAAGTGGTAGGTCTTCCGGTCGAACACGTCCGTCTCCCACTCACCATCTTGATTCGGCGACGCAGCCCGTGGCCCCGGGGCCCCCGAGCCCCTGGCCCTGGCTCGCCTCCATGGCGCGTGCTTCAGTGTCTTCCGGCAAGCCGCGATAGTCTCCTTGGCAGCCGCCTCCCGGTGTTCCTCAGCCGCGAATCCCTCGTCTGCGCTGCCCCCCTTTGGCGCAGGAACTCCTGGCCCGACCTCGCGGGGGGAGGCGCCTCGTCCTCGTCGGCAGGCTCCCCCTTGACCAGGAGCAGCTTGACCCGCAATCATCGTGCTTGCACGCCTTGGATCGCACCGCGTAGATTGTCCACCACATATTGCACCATCGTAGTACAGCTTGCACCGCAGAGATTGCATTATCTATATTGTACCACACAGCTTGGACAGCGGAGATCGCATCACATATATGCGCCATACATACATATGCATACACATGTACGTATATACACATATACAGATATTGCATCGCAGACACTGCGCCACACAGGGCGCGCTGTGACAACGGATGTGCCATGGTCGGATTCGAAGAGGACGTTGTCGAACATTGATACAATGAAAACGTTGCTGGCAGTGATCAATGGCGGTGATTGGGCCTGGACGCGTTTGTCAAAGCAGCTATCGTAAGCGTGAAGGTGACCCAGGAGCCCGGTTGCATTGCTGGTTCTTCTAGGCCTCCCAGACGGGATCAGAGTGGTTCGGGTCGGAGGATCGCGTTGAATCAGCGATGCGGCTCGATGTGGAGCCCGACTTTTTCCACGCCGACGTCGCTGATGCATCGCCGATGCGGCGCGACCCTACGACCTCATCTATCAAAGAAGTGAAATCACCATAAACATAAACTTTTGGCGCTCTGCTCGGATTTCGTGTGTCCTGGTGGGCCCCACCGGCGGCGCCTCTGGCGCCGCCCCTGGCGCGCTCCACGCGCCAGGGAGGGGGGTCCAGCGCAGATCTAAGGAATCCGCGCGGAGCGCCAAACGTTTCTGCTCATGGCGTTTTGTTTGTTGTTTTTCTTAGTTATTTATATATATTTTTTGTAAAACATAAAATGAAACAAAGCAACTAATAACAAAAACGCGCAACAACAAAACAAACAAAAAACAACACAAACATTTTACCTATTCGGACACCGCCTGGGAGGCCTCTCGTTGTGGCGTCGCCTTCCGCTCGAGCGAGCCGGGCGCGCAGCCCCCGGAGCAGCCCAGGGCGACGCCGAGCCCGCAGCGCGCGGGCCGCTGCGGTCGCAGAGCACACACGCCGAGCGGCAGGCCGCGCACCGCAGGCCGCTCGTGACTCGGGTCTGGCCTGCCGTGTCAGGGCTCGTTTCGATTCCTCCGATTCGATCCGATTCGATTTCGACTGCTTCCGATTCCGATTCGATTCGATTTCGGATTTCGATTTGGGTTCCGATTTCTCAATAGAGGCCTACCGGCCAGCCGATTTCCGCCGATCCGACTTTTCCCGACTCGGCTGCCGATCTCCGCCGATCCGATTCGTTCCGATTGCCGATTCGATTTATCGATTCGATTCTGGGCTCTCCTGCCGTGTGGCCGAAGGGGGGCGCGGGGCCGACGGGGACAGCCGACGACGAGTGTGATAGTCTCGAGGAGGAAAACACGCCACAGACATGAAACTGTTGGCGCTCCGCGCTGGCTTCTCGGATCCGCGCTGGGGCCCCCCAGTGCGCCTCTGGTTTCTTGGAAAGGGAGCCCGAAACTCCATACTGCAGTGCATATAGACAGAAGTATTGCCCGCATCTACGATGACGGCTCCCTGGAAGCCGACACGGAGCCCAGACCCCCGACGTGGTGGTTTTGTTCACGACGTCGACCCCCAGAGGTCTGGACCCCTTCCCCAGGGCCCGCAGAGGCCGAAAATAGGGAAAAACTTCTCGGGGGCGGAAAAGAGGGGGTGATGACTAGGAGGGGGGTGGATATCATGGCGGGGGCCATGATCTTTCCCCAGATTTCATGGCGCTTCTTTTTTTTCATTGCGTCCCTGGCCCCCCCGCTGTGCCGCGCACATGCCGCCGGTCATGATGTGCACCCCCCCCTCTTGGACCCCCCCCTCTTGTAAAACAGGGCTAGGATCGGGATAAATCGCTCCAGAGCGTTCCGGAGCGCTCTCAGAGCGTTCCCGAACGCTCTGGAGCGGCCGCGGCGCCCAATACATCCTCCAAACCCGCCGATTCTCAGAGATTTCGAGTTATCCCGATCCGATTTTGTCCCGATCCTCGCGTCGTTTTATCTTGGCCGCTCCCGAACTTCCCGTCGTGATTTTTTCATGACCCGAGGGGGTCTGGTGAGCAGGGACCGCCAGGACGCAGCAGACGACGGAAGGGGCGGGGAGGCTGCGGCCGCGCCCCGGCGCTTCGCCGGCACCACGGCGCCGCTCGCGCCCGAGCCGCCCTTCCGCACG